TTACCTGCAACAAGTTACTTTTTGGGTTCTATCCCCTGTGGTTGTGAAGTGCCATCAAGGGGCCTCTGACCTAGGGTGACCCTATGAATGAATGACCTCCAAAATAGCCCTGCTCGGCTCTTGCCAATTCAAGGCTGCAGCTTTGAAGACTGAGTTAGGCAGTGTGTACACACACAAAAAAACAACACAACAAGTACCCTAACAAAGTTAAATATAACACGCACCACTTTCAGGTCGGTGGCCACAGCTGCTTTTTAAATAAACAAATGATGACATGAACTTTTCAGGTCGTGTGCCACTTTCTTAGCTGCCCTCTTTATTTTTGAATGTTGGCATGTTCACAAATCAGAGCCCGGGTGGGGAAAGGAAAAGAGTGTGACTAGGATACTTGTGTCCAAATCTCCAGCTGGGTGCAGAAATACATGTGGCAGGGGGTAGGATGATAAAGCGATGCTTGAATATTTCACACACCTCAGAAAGCCTGTTTGGCTCACCCTGACTCAGAAGCAACTTAATGCAAATATTTGAAAGATGCAATATCAAAATGAGCCACTAGAGGGAACTAGAGGCCAGATTTTTGCATCTTTCCTTCTGGCTGGTAACATCTGGACCATGAAAAGCAATGTGTGTTGATTTATTAGAATTGTGGCCTTTAACCTGCCAGCATGGAAATACTGAGTGATACATAGGGTTTTTGTGGGTTTTTTTTTTAAGTGCAAGGTCCAGGAACATCATACTTGGCTCACAAGCAATAACCCAGAGACAACTCAAAGAAAGCGAAATCTCTCTGAAGCTGATGCTATGGCAAGGTGCCAGTCTTTAAGAAAACTCTTGAGCTTGTCTCTGAAATTCAACCTCTCCAGCATTTGTAAACGACACTCCCTTGTCAAGTGTATTATACAACGAGGAAAAAGAACAGCCAAACATCACAGAAAAAAAGCTTGCCTTTCCAACTGACTCAGGACCAACTAAGGACAAACTAAATTTCCTTTTTTAGGGCCCCCGTTCTCCAGCTGCTGTTTTAGGCAGTGGGTTACAGAAGGTCACACAACCACTAAAATTGGGGGTCCGGGGACAGGTAACATGACCTGTGTGCATTTCATCTAGGTACACAACACACATTTCAATACTATGATTCACTCAGACTCTAATAAACCCACCAGATATAAAGGTATGACAGGATTTTTCTGGTATTTCATTATAAAATGCATTAGATTAGCTTTCCAAAATTAAGGTCCCTTCAAGGCGTGGTAGACTACATTTCCCATCTCAGAGTGCCTAACTGGCAATGGTCACCATGGCTGGGGATGGTGGAAGTTGTAGTCTGACAGCTCCTGTCCCCCTCTGGGGATCACTTTATCAAAGGCTGAATTATTTCCAGCTTCTGTCCGCTTTGGATCTGACAACAGTCCTCCATTCATTCATGAATATGGTTTGAAAACAGAGCATGGAGAAAAATCACCCTTATAGATTTTGGGGTTGTCTGCACTGAAAATACAAGCTGGATATTTTATTTTCATTTTCTTATTAGTTATATTTACCCTTCACTGAGCTCCAGACAAAATAGCTGGCTCCCTCTCACCCTGTCTTCACAAGAAGCCTGAGAGGTAGGCCACCCTGAAAACAGTAGGTTTGAATGCATATCCCCCAGCGAGTTTCGTGGCTCAGCCTGGGACTCGAACTCAGGACTTCACCGGTCCCAATCCAACACACTTCACCACTGCACCGCATTGCTCCCACACCAACCGATGCACCTGCTCCAGAAAACGCAACAGAAAATGGGTGGCATATGATATCCCAGTAATCCTTACCCCGTTTACTGCCAAAGGAGCCTGGGATCCTTTAGTTAAAAGCTTCCTGTGGTCCCTGTTAACCTCAAGTTACCTTGGTTTTCAAGGTAAGTCAGATATTCAAGGAGGTGTTATTTTTTTAAGTCACCCACCCTAGGTGGGTTTACATGGCCAAGCAAGGATTCAAACCCAAGTCTCCCAAATCCTAGTCCATCACACTCATTTGGTCACCTGGAATACCCCAAAGGACTCTAAAGCCTATGACCCAGTGCCTTATCCAAATATTTAGCTAATCTCAATTCACACACAGCCCGCCTCTCCAGCAACACCCAGGTTACACAATGCACCCTGCTCCACACAACCCACGTCAGGCATCTCCACCCCTTTTTCCAAGGGCAGGATCTTTCCCTGGAGAGATAACCTCCCGCATCTCGTCCAAAGACCCAGAAAGAGCCGCTCGTCCTCCCACGATTCAGGGAAATCGGACGATGCACCACAGCCGGACTTTTCTGCCAGGAGATATTTGTAACCCTCAACACTTCCAAAATCAGGATTTTAATTTTTTTTTTTTAAATTTTACACACACACACTTTACTGGGGCTCTTCTTTGTATTTGGTGGCACACAATAAAAACCAGGTGATCCTTCCGGATGCAACAAGACTCTTCAGCTGTTGCTGCAGACCTTCCTGTGACAGGAAAAAGAGTCCTTCCTATGAAATGAAATATTGGGGTTTTTTTTTAAAGGGTCTGAGATTGATCCAGCCCAGCCTCCCCACTGGTGCTGCTCCTCCCCCAACACTTGAAAACAAAAACATAAGGCATTAGTTCAAAACTCAGCAAACCAAATCCCCTTTCCTCAATGATCTAAATTAAAATGGAATAATAATTGCCCTTTAACCTTCTTAGGCGAAGCATCCACCAGGGCTAAGCCTTTTTACAGGCTAAGCCTTCATCCTCAAACCCCCCCCTTCCAAAAAAGACACACACACACACAAAAGCTCCTCCAGCTTCCTCCTCCCTTCCTCTAGAAAGCCAAGCACCCAAGGTCTTCTTCCTCCAACGCAATCTGAACTTTCCTCTACTTCCTAGGCCAGGAGGA